TTTTAACAGAACCTTACGGTTCTGGCTCCTTTCCATTCGGGGAAGCGTCAGTCTGGTTCCTATTCCACCAGCAAGTCAAAGAATTACATCATTTACACACCAATGCTCCTCCCCATTATGGATGAGAGGCCCGAGTGGACGGCATTGATTACTTCCTTTGGGAAGGAGGTACCACCCCTCGCCCCTGCCTAAGGTAACTGCCTGCTAAAAAACTTTTAACCCCTACAGATCTCCTTACTTAGGGGCCTAACCCTTTTTCCCTCCCAGACTCTTAGCTGGCAGATTTACGCCATAAGATCAAGATTCAGGACGTGTATGATGTGCCATATGTTGTCCTCATTCTAAAACCCTAAACCCTAGGGACTTGAACTTAGGTTCTACTGGCTGTCATGCTAAAACCCTACGCTTTTGTGTGTCCTATTCTCTTATGGATCTAGTAGGGAACTAGGATCTTGATAATGCTGAGTTTCCAGACAATAGTGAGCCTTAGTAGTCTACTTCTTCGTCTCGCTGTAACTTCTTTAAAGTTGTTATGTTGCTATGTGGGGTGATTGGGAGGGGGGGTGGAGAATGAGGGGGTCTGTGAGATGGTGGAGGTTTTGTGGTTCTGAGATGAGGGGCGTAAGACTGTGGGCTAGGGAAGGGGATGCGAGGGTATTTGTGCTAAGGATGGGACTGGACTGTGTTTCAGTTGGAGGGAACAGATGAAGTTGGTGTTGGGGATACATGAGGTGTGTTGGTGAATGATGTGGGGAATCTCAGGTGGTTTCCTCTTCTGCTGTGATTAGTGTGTGTGTGTGCGTGGGTTGGATGGGAGGTCTGTGATTCCCTACTGAATTAACCTCTCTACGGAAGCTAAAAAGAACCAACAGCAGTTTTTTTTTTTTTTTTTGGCAAAACTAATGGCTAGCCCTGCAMAAAAAAAAAAAAAAAGAGTTTCAGAAACTACTCTGCACAGCCGAACACAATGGATCCTTCAATAGTATCATACGCACTGTCAGGGCAGACTCACACTCGACCCTCAAAATCGCAACATCGCAAAATGAGCGGCCACACCGAGTCTTTGTAACGGAAGGACTCTATCTGGCTGCTCATTTTGCGATTTTGTGATTTCGAGGGCCTAGTGTGCATATGCTCTCAGAGTGTTTATTACACTTCAAAGTTTAAAGTTTAAAATCAGAGGAAGATACAAACTTACAAAAGAGTTGGTTGTTCTTGTCAATACAAGCTTGGTGTCAGCTGCCGCCATGTCGATTCCCATTGTCACTCAGAAGCAGTCCCTTTTTTCAGACTCTCCGCCAATGTATAGGAACAGGAGAATGCCGAAGCGGCTCGCTTGAGATATCCAAAGGATCCACCATCATGATGTTGTGCTGTGTGCGTCCGATCGATATACATGACGATGTTTTGGCAGAAAGCTCACGATTCGCATGACCAAGTCCTCTGGTAATTTCTCCCATCTCGTCCCCTTGAAAATGCCGACAAAACGTTTGCACCAGACCCCCATCTCCCTCGAGTCTCTTAGCATTGCATCTCTCACCGACGAGGGCTGGAGTTGATATCTTCTAACATTGAAATCGAAGACAACTGAAGGTACTGAATACAGTGTCCTTAAGGATGCAGCAACAGGAATCAAGCGTTCGAATTCGGATTGTCCGGTGTACACAACACGCGCACCGAGGAGAGAAGCGCAAAAAAGATCTTTCCATGACTTCACAAGTTCAGGTGTAGTCTTGCGAAAACGATCCTTAGGATCGTCATCACCTGAGACATTTCTTCTTCCATTAAACGCCCAATTTGCTGCATCGATTGAATCCTCTTCATCAAATACCGATATGCTTTCCAGCCTAGGAATGTCTCCATGTGGCTTGTACCGCTCATCGAGATATTCTTCAGGCAACAAAACTCGGATTTCAGTAGTGCCAACGCCAGTATTACCATCGGCTTCGGCAATCCGGACACGAGTCTCACGGTCGTAGACATGGGCAAACCAGCCACAGTCACCGCCTCGTTCCCACAAGTACATTCGCAGAGGGAAATGCCGCCTGTCGACTCCCACCAGATCGAAATCGATGAGATCGACTTTGACATCATGAACTCCAACTGAGCTGTCCTGCAAAGGGTGTGATTTACAGACGTACTTGCCGTAATCATATATCTTTTTGGCCAGAGCTTCATCACTCTCATGCTTTGCATCCTTTCCCACACGACAAAGAAACGATCGGTCCAGCGGAGGCCAACGAGAAATGCAAAAGTCTCGAAATCGATGACAAAGAACATCAACACAACCGCTATCCGCACACAATTCAGTCCTAACTGTATCGCCCAGGTGCACTCTCAAATTGGGATCCCTCTGCATCAAATCACCACCATCATGACCTTCCTCAGCGAACCTTGTCCAGTACTCGTCCAAGAAGTCTCTTACTCTTTCCCTGAGGACATCACTAAAAGAGCGCGAGCAGTCGAAGGGCTTAACGAACTCGCCGATCCATCCACAGTAGTCGGCGAACTGATTCGCAAATGCCGCATGATCTATTTTTAGAAGGCCGTAATAACACGGCTTGCCGAGGAATTTCGACATGAAATCGTAGATTAGATTGTAGGTGAAAATTTGCAAACTTGCCATTTGCACAGGAAAGACATGGAGTCTATCAAACAAGCTCTGTTGAAATGCCGTGCGGAAGTCCAGTACCATGCCGATCCCGCTTCTGTCATCCATGCCAGTCTCTTCCATGCTTGCCCCACAGAGAGAGAGAGAGAGAGAGAGAGAGAGAGAGAGAGAGAGAGAGAGAGAGAAGATGGATTGCAGGATGGATGGCTTGCTTCCTGTTTGAAAGGGAAAAAAAACGAACCCGAAAGAACTCAATGTTTCGGCAGCAATTCTGTCTACCTGTCCTTGCCTTTGTTTGCAGTTCTCTCTAAGTCCATTTGTCCTCAGGCTGACAGTGTCCCTTCTGCTATCTTCAAAATACTAATCCTAAAAGCTATGCAGGTCATACTGAAGATGATCTCAGAGAAATTTCAAATTTCGTGATTACATAGTTCGAACTTCGAATCCATCCTTAGCTTCCTTACTCGGCAAGTTGGCCAAGTTGCCTGAGTTCCTAAGAGATTGATATTGCTTGTTTTAAGTGTTTAGAACTTAGAAGTGGATTCGAACCATTTCTGGCACAAGGATTCTCAGTCCTTTGCTCTAACCAACTGAGCTCCGTAAACAAAGACGAAAACAAAATCAATCTCTTTTTCCCCCCCTTTATTTTGGACCATTTCTGGCACAAGGATCTTCAGTCCTTTGCTCTATAACCAACTGAGCTCCCTAAACGAAAACGAAAACAAAATCAAAATTGTTCTTTCAGAATCTTTCTCTTTTTTTTACCCCTTTTTATTTTGGACCATTTCTCGATTTACGCATGTAATCCTCTTGTGCAGGGATCATGCGAGTCTTCTCTGTATCGTTCCAATTTTAAAGCACCCGTACACCACACACATAGGCCCGCGGGTGTGTCAGCATGAAACCCGCACCTTTTTTTTTTTTTTTTTTTTTTTTTTTTTTGGTGTTTAGAAGTGGATAGCATGAACACTTCGGAGGCCACCGATCTTTTTTTTTTCAACGGCGCCCCTGCCCGTGCAGCGCCTCCGAGTTTTGCTTGTGGCAACAAAAAACTTTCTGCAAGGCTTCTGGGAGACCGTGTACTAGCGGTTTAACGGATGTTCCGAAGGACGCTGTTTTTATTTCTCATGCTAAGCCCTTTCCGCTGTTCCTTACATGCTTAAGCCCTTTCCGCTGTAACAGTTCTATCTCTCACCCGTTCACTTCTGCTGCTACGGATATGGCAACCGTTTCACAAAATTGGAAACACCCGTCAGCGTAGCCCTTTCCGTCATCTACTTTCTCAACACTGTGACGCGTTTTCAGGTCTGCAGCTCCACTACCGTCTTCACCCGAATAGAATGCTCGGTAATTATCGCCATATCTGGGCTGAAAAACGTTTTGCCAAATACAGCTATAATGAGCGGGTGTTCTATTTGGGTGACGATGATAGAGTGATGCTCGCAAGTGTTCAGCAGTACAACTTCAACTTCATTCAATTGCCTCCCCACTTTTCTCTCTCCCCTTCCTATAGCAATTTCCACAAGTAACTCCTTCCGCTTTACTCCCATGCCTTCACCTCCCTTGGTATCACCGGAACTCAAACGGTGTTGTCTGTGATCTGGCTCAGTTTCCAAACACGAGTTTTTTTTAACTGTGTTGATGGGGATGCATTTTCCGGTCTGCAGCTGTACGAGAGTGACGTTCCTAAGTGTTGAAGTTAATGGTGTCCCAGCACTTCTCTGTGATGCATTTTCCAGTCTGCAGCTATACGAGAGAGACGTTCCTAAGTGTCGAAGCTCATTGCGTCCCCACACTTCTCTCCCTCCTATAATTGCAATTTCTGCAGCAACTCCTTCAGCTTTTCTCCCATGCCTTCGCCACCTCCCTTGGTATCACCGGAACTCAAACAGTGTCATCTGTGACCTGGTTCGGTCTCCGAAGGCTAGTCTTTTTCTACTGTGTTGACTGTGATGCATTTTCCGGTCTGCAGCTGTACAAGAGTGACGTTCCTAAGTGTTGAAGTTCATTGCTTCCCCGCACTTCTTTTTTTTTTTTTTTTTTTTTTTCAAAAATTTGGACCATTTCTCGATTGATGTGTGTCATCCTTGCGCAGGGGCCATGCTAATCTTCTCTGCATCGTTCCGATTTTAACGGATGTCTCGAAGGACTGCTTCCCCTCATTTCTCTCCCTCCTATAATAGCAATTTCTGCAGCAACTCCTTCAGCTTTTCTGTCATGCCTTCACCACCTCCCTTGGTATCACCGGAACTCAAACAGTGTCGTCTGTGACGTGGTTCGGTTTCCGAAGGCTAGTCTTTTTGTACTGTGTTGATCCGGAATTGCACACCTCGTGAACCTTCTCTACATCTCTCGTACTGTCACTAAATTATCTTTCTCCTCGCACTTCCACCTCCGTCACTCTCCAGCTCTTTATTTTTTACGCCTCTCATTCTGTTTACCCATGGTCTGCTACTGTTTTCTTTTTTCTTTCTCTTTTCAAAGGGCGATGGCCTTGAAATATCATCACCGAGCTCACCAGCTCAGGGTAATTGACCGGAATTCAGATCTGTAGTATATTACTCTCCTGCTTCCAGTGCAGTTTGAACTCAGGTCTGTACTTCAACAGACAACAGCTCAAGCTTAGGGTGTACCAAGTACTACCAACCGAGCTAGGCCAGTCGATGTGGTGTGCTATTGTCTATCATCTAATGCTCTCAGATCTGCCTGGACTGTGTTGCATATGACCCCACTTTCTTATTTATTGACATCCTACTTGTTCCCGTAAAGACATGATCATCTGGAGACTGGAACCCAACTTCTTTTGGCTTTTGTCGTCTTTCTCTTTTCTGAGAGAATGAAACTGTATTCAAGGCTGGAAACTGGGTCCAGCGTCCCTTATACATATACATATATATATATATGAGTCGGTGAAACTCCGACGAAACAGTTTG